GTGAAGGGAGACGCCGGACAGGGCAAGATACGACAAAATAATAATTTATAAATTATAAAGGGCTCATGAAGGAGGGAGAATTGGGGAGGGAGGAGAAAAATGAGGAGCTGATGCCAGGGGCTTAGGTGAAGAGCAAATGTTTTGCGAATGATGAAGGTAATGAATGTACAAATGTGCTTCAGACAACTGATGTATGTATGGATTGTGATGAGTTGTATGAGCCCCTAATTAAATGATTAAAGAAAAAAAGAAAGTCACATGGTAATAGAAAACTAAAGCAAACCTAGATGAGAAAGAAGCGCCAGGGAGAATATAATGCTATTCACAGAGTAAATGAGCTATCTTTCCTATGAAGGAAGTACAATATAGCAAGTCAGGCAAATTTACCTGGGAGAATGACTCAACAGGAGAGAGCAATGCAAATGACCTGATAGAGCTATAGAAAGAAATTGGTGTAGCTGAAGTGAAAATGTGCATTTTATTTCATTATGAGAAGTGATTTTGGTAACCTGAAAAATAATTGAAAGGTTGTAATAGTATTATATTCCTGATTATCTGCAATATCCAATTCCATTATACAAAATCCTTAGCTTATATCCTACCATGCTCAGTTATTTATCACATGAACTAAGATAAGAAAGTTGATAGGAAATATTTTTCAGGATGATAAAACAAAAAAGTAAATAAAGAATAAAAGTTTACCAAATATGCCAGGGTTTATCTTTGATGTTTTCTAAACACAGCAATTGAGATACTTTTACAGATGTTACTGCATCTCTAAGATCCATTTTGTTTGCGAAGAATAAGATTGGTATCCGGCGGTGTTTTATATCTAAAAAAAGACAAAACAGACTATTATTATACTTCCAGTTCGGGTCTTCCTCCGCCCCAGATCACAAAAACTGAAATCCATGAACATTATTTTCCATATTTTTCTTTGCACAGTACACATAATTAAACATTTACAGATACACACTGTCAGCCACATATTGGAACAACAGAAAAAATCAAATATTTATTAAGACTAACAACCCAAAAATGAGGTAAGTGGAGACAGAGGGTAATTACGTCCTTCTAGAACAGGCCTTCCAAAAGGGTTAAATACATGTTTTGCTTGTTTCATTTTTATTGCCGAAAAAGAGGAGGTTACTCCACTCAAGTATTCCCTCAATGAATGAATATTTTGTTCTATTAAACTGGCATTCCATGATGCTCATCTCCCCAATAAGATCGCTGAAGACAAATGGGTGCATAAGCAAATGTGGTGAAGAAAGCTGATGGAGCCTGGCTATCAAAAGATATAGTGTCTGGGGTCTTAAAGGCTTGAAGGTAAACAAGCGGCCACCTAGCTGAGAAGCAACAAAGGCACATGGAAGAAGCACACCAGCCTGTGATCACAGGTGTCAAAGGGATCAGGTATCAGGCATCAAAGAACAAAAATCCTATCACTGTGAATGAGGGGAAGTGCAGAGTGGGGACCCAAAGCCCATCTGTAGGCAACTGGACATTCCTATACAGAAGGGTCGTGGGAAGGAGACGAGCAGTCAGGGTGCAGTGTAGCAACGATGCAACATACAACTTTCCTCTAGTTCCTAAATGCTTCCTCCCTAACCCCACCCCACACTATCATGATCCCAATTCTACCTTACGAATCTGGCGAGACCAGAGGATATACAATGGTACAGATAGGAACTGGAAACACAAGGAATCCAGGACAGATGATCCTTTCAGGACCAGTGCTGAGAGTGGCAATACCGGGAGGGTAGAGTGGAAAGGGGAAACCAATTACAAGGATCTACGTATAACCTCCTCCCTGGGGGACGGACAACAGTAAAGTGAGTGAAGGGAGACGTTGGACAGTGTAAGATATGACAAAATAATAATAATTTATAAATTATCAAGGGTTCATGAAGGAGGTGGCAACGGGGAGGGCGGGGAAAATGAGGAGCTGATATCAAGGGCTCAAACAGAAAGCAAATAAATGTTTTGAGAATGATGAGGGCAACAAATGTGCAAATGTGTTTGACACAATGGATGTATGTATGGATGTGATAAGAGTTGTAAGAGCCTCCAATAAAATGATTAAAAATAAAAAAGGAGGTTAATTTCAAATAGAAAGTAGAAGGAAGATAAATTAGGTAACATTTTAGCAAGCTATTTTAACAAGATATTTTTACCTTTTAGATACTGTTAAATGGTTATTGTTTTGAATAAATTATATAAATAGTTAAAAATGAGAAAGAAATAAAATAGTATGAAGTAAAAAAGAAAGAAAAATCCTCGTACTCGTGTCCCAGGTGATACTGTTGCCTTCCTTGCAGGATGCAGCTCACAGCCTAAGTTTCTTAGGGTCGTTCCAGAAGTATTCAACGTATTTGCAAGTATAAATATCATGCTATTTTATATACAAACACTAAAAATATACTATATACTTATTATAGTATAATACATTTAGTTTTCATGTTTCACTTTGCTTTTTTCACCAAGCTTGCATAATTTGAATATCCGCCCACATCAGCATATAAAGAGTAGTTTATTATTTTATCAGTTATAGTCCTCTCATTTTAGTACTATGTTCTACAATGTACTTAACCAGTACCCCTCAGAGATATACGTAACTTGTTACCAATCTTTAGAACTATAAACAAAGCTGCAATGAACACAGTAAGCAATTTTGTACATGGAGTGCAGGTCTCTAAGATGAATTCAATAAGTGGAATTGCTGGGACCAAGGATGTCATTTTAATCAAGACACGTAGTAATAACCAAAGTAACTTTTATTAAAAATAGTTTACAATCAATTCACACTTCAGAGTGTTTCCACTCTCCTTGCCAAAAGCGTTATAAAACTTAAAAAAAAATTCCATGATAGGTGGTAAGTAAAAATGATAATAAAGTATCTACTAGCATTTAAGAAAATCTGAAAACTCTTTCCATATATAAGATATTTCTAGTTAAAGTTTTGGTTAACAATCGTGTCATATCCTAACCCTGTTTTTCTATTAAGTTTTTTATTCTCTTCTTGATTTGCAGAAACATATTAATAAAAAATTAATGCCTATAGCTATTACATGAGCTGCATATATTTTCCATTACTTATCATTTGCCTTTGACTTTCATGGACTACTTAAACATATTTTGCTATTTAGAAACTTTTGCGTAGTCATATTCATCAATATTTTTAAGATTCTTTGTACTATATTTGGAAAGGACCCCAATCACCTTAAAATTATTTTAAAAATTCTCTCTTAGTTTTTCTGCTGCTATGATTTTTCACACTTAAATATTTAAACTAGCTCAAATTTACCTTGGAATAAGCAACATGTTTTTCAAACAGTCTTCCAAAATCTCTGAACACACTTATAACTAATAATAGCATTTCTGGGCTAATTTTAAAGATATAATCATACACATTTCTAAGTAAAACATTTTCAGTCTAATTCTATATTTTTGTCTAGTTTTGTGTTTTTATGTGCTCAATGACAATTAGATATTATAGTCTCTAGAACAACCATTAAAAATAATGCAGGGGGTATAACTAAAATAAAATTCGTCTGTTAGGCGGCGTTGCATTGGTTCTGATCGTGACTGATAGTTTATTGTGCCAGCCTGGCTGATAAACACAAGTGGCATTAACTGAAGGACAGAGATAAATGACTTGGTGAGTCTCGCCTTTCTTGTCTCTCGCTCTTTGATCATCGGACCAGTGTGCGGCTGCCTTGCTTGTTCTGTGCCTCAATTTAAAGGCTACA